GCACACGTCACCACTGCACTACGCAACCACAGACATCACACATGCAGCGCATACGCACACCACACCACGCACACACACACAGCACACACACATACGACACACACACACGCCGCGCCGCGCTCGCGCGCACACACACACACATACCATACACACACACACCACACTCCGCACGCACGGCACGCACGCACGCACGCACGCACCGCGGACGCATACACACACAACACGCTCTCTCTCTCAACACACAACACACACACACACACACACACACAACCACACTACACACACGCACACACGCGACGCGCGACACGACACACACAACACACGGCCACACAGCGCACACACACCACGCGTAACACACAACGCACACACATCACACACACGCACGCACACACACACACACAGTACAAACAGTACACACACACGCACACACACACACACACACACACACACACACCAGCACACAACACAAGAACACTTACACAGCTCACACGCGCGCGCCGTCGCCACGCACGCACGCACGCACTGCACGCACACACACACACACACACACACACACACAGATGAGAAGACGAGACGAGAGAGCAGCAGAGAGAGTAAGGAGGAGGGGGTTGAAGCAGAGAGAGAGAGAGAGAGAGAGAGAGAGAGAGAGAGAGCGATAGCTTCTGGGCGAGGGTAACATCCACACGAGGCCCCCGATCACGTGAGCTCGCAACCTCATTAGTCTCTCACTGCCGCGGCCCACAGGCGCGCTCGTGATCCGTCTACGGTAGTCAATCGAAGATCGATGGAATATCGATTGGTTGATATCTGACGGTTCTATCTGATCTGTTTGAGATAGCTTCTCGTAGCGCCGCCAAGTGGTCAGGTGCCGAACTGTCTCACCCTCCGTCCAAGTTCTGCTCTACCAGACCCCACTCAGCTAGGCCCTATCATTAAACCAAACCAGCCCCAACCCATCCATACCTAACCCAGTCACATCTAATCCAGCCACACTTAACCCAGCCATAACCAGCCCAGCCACCTCACAACCCACCAACACCTAACCCAGCCGCACCTAACCCACCCACACATAACCCACCCACACCTAATACAGGCACACATAAAATTGCCCTTCCCGCATTTTGTTAACAAGACCGCGCACTGAACGGCGACAACAGAGGAGAAAGATTGTCGCTCGCTTATACGAGCGAGAAAAAAGTTTTACGGGCGACTCCCGTGTCGGTGCTTAGCTCTACCGCGCCTGCTAACCCGTTAAAGTAGATACTAGAGGTGAGGCATCAAGCAACGCTGGCACATACGGCCGCGCATAGTGACGCAAGTTGTGTATAGAAATGGGTAAAATAGAATAGTAATAGAAATAGATCAAAATGAACGAGAATAATCGAGGGAGAGAGAAAACTATGGAGGGAGACAGAAAGGGGGAGAGAAAGCGTAAAAGAGAGAGAGAGAGAGAGAGAGAGAGAGAGAGAGAGAGAGAAGACCAGAAAGCGAGCAAGAGATAGGTAGAAGAAAAAAAAGAAGAAGAAGAATACGAAGAGAAAGAGGTCAATCGAGAGAAAGAGAGAAGGAGAGAAGGAGAGAGAGGAGGGGAGAGATGCGAACATAACAAGCGTCCGTCTGGAAGCACAGGTGTCGTACGTCCGCTCACTGCGCGATTCCCGCACCTCCATGACGCGGCGATGACGTCATCCCCGCCGTGCGTCGCAACTTTCTGCTTAGCACTCTTGCAGTACCCGATTCCTCTCCCGACTACCAAGCCTCGCGAAGCCATCATCAGCCGGTGACCCTGGGACTCAGTGACCGTGCGTGTCCGCGTAGTCCGGCCAACCGCCAGTCCGGAGAGCAGCCGCGCGGCTGCCGAAGCGGAGTGCGACAGGTGTGGGTAACGTAACAAGCGTTAGCAGGTATGCGCCGCCGAAGCGAGCTCGGCGTATTTAGCGGCATGCTCGTGTTGCGCTCGCACGCACCGCGCCACCACGCTCCGCTCTGAACATCGGACTCCCTCATCATCATCATCCCGACCGACGAGCATACGGAACACCGCGCGTGAAACCGGATCGACAGCGTCGGATCGAGATCCGAGATCCGAAATCTGTGCGTGTGCGTGCTGTCTATATGCTGTTCATCAGAAATCAGAAGGAGTGGGCGAGCAAGAGCGCCCGCAGCATGAAGACTGACCAGCACGTGGATGGCAACGCGAAGCAGGCGAACGGAGCGCCCGAGACGTTTCAGATGCACGAGTGTACGAAACCACTAGGTAGCAACTCCACACTTGTGTGCGTGCGTGCGTGCGTGCGTGCGTGCGTGCGTGCGTGCGTGCGGGCGTGCGAGCGGGCGTGTGGTGTTGGTGTGAGTGTGTGCGTGCGTGCGTGCGTGTGTGCGAGCGGGCGTGTGGTGTTGGTGTGTGTGTGTGCGTGGACGTGCGTGTGTACGTGCGTGCGTGCGTGTGGTGTTGGTGTGTGTGTGTGCGTGGACGTGCGTGCGTGTGTGCGTGCGTGCG